TGTGTATTCTGACAGCAGAGTGCTACTCTCAGAATACATGCAGTGCATTCATAAAGTATTCAGACCCCCTTCACTTTTTTTCAATTTTATGTTACATCCCCATACTACAGTTGTTTAAATTCATTTTTTTTCCCATTAATCTACACTCAGTACCCCATAATAACAAAGAAAAAACAGAATTTTAGAAATGTTTGCAAATTTATTAAAAAGGAAATGCTGAAATATCACATTGGCATAAGTATTCAGACCCTTTGCTCTAACACCTGAAATTTAGCTCAAGTGCCTCCCGTTTCTCTTGCTGAGATGTTTCTACACTCTGATTGGAGTCCACCTGTGGTAAATGCAATTGATTGGACATGATTTGGAAAGGCACACACCTCTCGAAAAAAGGCCTTACAGCTGACAATGCACACTGTATCAGAGCAAAAGCCATGAGGTCAGAGGAACTGTCGGCAGAGCTCAGAGACAGGATTATTGCAAGGCACAGATATGGGAAAGGCTAGAAAAATTCTGCTGCACTGGAGGTTCCCGAGAGCACAGTGGCCTCCATAATACAAAAATGGAAGAAGTTTGGCACAACCAGGACTCTTCCAAGAGCTGGTCACCTGGCCAAACTGAGAAATCACAGGCTGAATGAAAAAAAAACATTACATGCATGCCCAGCATTAACCCCTCGCCTACCGGGCACATCCCCCCCTTCCTGACCAGGCCAATTTTCAGCTTTCAGCACTGTTGCAATTTGAATGACAATTGCGCGGTCATGCAATACTGTACCCATATGAAATTTGAATCATTTTTTTCACACAAATAGAGCTTTCTCTTGGTGGTATGTAATCCCCTCTGGGGTTTTTATTTTTTGTGCTATGAACAAAGAAAGAGCTAAAAATTAGAAAAAAAAAAGTTTTTCTTTGTTTCTATTATACAATTTTGCAAATAGGTAATTTTTCTCCTTCACTGATGTCCGTTGAAGAGGCTACACTGATAGGTAGCACTGATGGACAGCACTGATGGGCAGTGATGAGGTGGCACAGATAGGCAGCACTGATGGGCACTGATGAAGTGGCATGGAAAGGCAGCACTGATGGGCACTGATGAGGTGGCACAGATAGGCAGCACTGATGGTCACTGATGAGGTGGCATGGATAGGCAGCACTGATGGGCACTGATTAGGTAGCACAGATAGGCAGCACTGATGGGCACTGATAGGAGGCACTGATAGCCAGCATTGATAGGCGGCACTGATGATGCTGCACTGATGGGCACTGATTGGCAGCACTGCTGGGCACTGATGGGAGGCACTGACTGATGGCACTGCTGGGCACTGACTGGTGACACAGCTGGGTGACACTGATGGGGGGCACTGCTGGGCATAGATGGGTGGCACTGCTTGGCACAGGTGGGTGGAACAGCTGGGTACAGTTGGGCAGCACTGATGGGCACAGGTTAGCGGCACAGGTGGGTGGCACTGTTGGGCACTGATCATCAGGGCACTGATGATCAGTGCCAGTCCCTTCGCTTACAATTGACAGTTTCTTGGCAATACTTTTTTAACAGTGTGAGGAAAATGCAGCCAATAACCAGCAACTGTATTTACCCAGTGATCTGTTGTGTCATTGGACACAGCTAATCACATGGTAAAAGGTCGCTGTGATTGGTCTTTTACCATATACATGATCAGCTGTGTCCGTAGGTCACAGTGATCACCGGCGGTACCGGGTGCCTGCTGCTGGGGACGCGCAGAGGGCGTGTTCTGGGAGGACGTCTATGGACGTGATTGGGAAGTGTTTAAAGCTAGGGGTGGCTGTGTGGTGGAAACTTCTAATGTTGGGCATACACTTTTTATGGCAGATCAGGCTTCATCGGTAGCGGTAGCTCCTATGCTCAGCTTGTACTTTTTTCTGGCAGAGACTTCTTCATATACATCATTCGATGAACAAAAAAACAAAGGCTGAACAAAAAAAAAAAAGAACATTACATGTATACCCAACATTAGGCGTATGGCAGAAACTCCTAATGATGGCCATGCACATAATGTTTTTAGAGGCCTTAAAATGCCAGGACAGTTCAAACACTCCCTCCCAAATTACTCCTTTTTGGAAAGCAGACACCCCAAGCAATTTGATGAGAGCCATGCTAAGTCCATGGAAGACTTTATTTTTTTGCTACAAGTTTTTTTTTTTTTTTTTACAAAGTTGTCACTTTAATGAGATATTTATCACATGTGTCATGGCTATATGAGACAATACACCCCAAAACACATTCTTCTATTTCTCCCGTGTGTGGGGATACCACATGTGTGAGACTTTTTAGGCAGCCTAGCCATGTACAGGGGCCAAAAATCCAATGGCCACCTTCAGGCTTTCAAGGGGTTTTAATTATGCATTAGATTTCCTGACTACCTATCATATTTTTGGAGACCTTAAAATGCCAAGGACAGTATAATTCCTCCCCCCTTTTTAGGAAAGTAGACACTCCAAGGTATTTGCTGAGAGGCATGGTGAATCTTTGGAAGATCTTATTTTTTGCTACAAGTTTTTGAAAAATGAAAGAGAATGATTTTTTTGTTTTTCATTTTTCATAACCTTAAAAAAAATGAGATCTGCAAAATACTCACCATGCCTCTTATTAAATTTCTTGGAGTATCTACTTTCCAAACGGGTCATTTGAGGGATGTTTTTAGAGCCTCAAAAATTGTGATGGGTAAGTCAGGAAATCTAATGTGCAAGTTACTCCCTTTGAAAGCTCTATTCTTTTACCAAAGACATGTAGCAGAATACATTTTGGCCTAAATGCATGAAGTAATTTTTTTTTTTTTGATATGTTTTATACCTAAAAACAAACAATATTTTCTTCTTTCTACATTTTATGTATTTTTCACTTATATGATAAAAAACAGTAGAGATTAAATACCACCAAAAGAAAGCTCTATATGTGTGAAAACATTAAATAAATTGTTTTTTTAGGTACAGTGTTGCATGATCACGTCAGGTAAAGTAGGTAGTGTTGAATAGAAAAAAAAGCCTTGGTCATGAAGGGGGTAAAACCATCCGGAGGACATGGGGTCAACTTATTTTCTCTTTTTTTTGTGTAATTATGTATATATTTATTTATTTATAGTCTTATGTGTTTTATGTTTATTGCTTGCAAGAATTTTATAAGAATCCTTTCATTGGTATTCATTGCAAAGAATGTCCCTTACATTGGTGATCAGTGGGAAGAATACCCATTACATTGGGGGTCAATGGGAAGAATGTCCCTTACATTGGGGGTCAATGGGAAGAATGTCCCTTATATCGGGGTCAGTGGGAAGAATGTCCCTTACATTGGGGGTGAGTGGGAAGAATGTCCCTTACATTGGTGGTCAGCGGGAAGAATGTCCCTTATATTGGTGGTCAGTGGGAAGAATGTCCCTTACATTGGGGGTCAGTGGGAAGAATGTCCCTTACATTGGTGATCAGTGGGAAGAATGTCCCTTACATTGGGGGGTCAGTGGGAAGAATGTCCCTTACATTGGTGGTCTGTGGGAAGAATGTCCCTTACATTGGTGATCAGTGGGAAGAATGTCCCTGACATTGGTGATCAGTGGGAAGAATGTCCCTTACATTGGGGGTCAGTGGGAAGAATGTCCCTTACATTGGGGGTCAGTGGGAAGAATGTCCCTTACATTGGTGATCAGTGGGAAGAATGCCCCTTACATTGATGATCAGTGGGAAGAATGTCCTTTACATTGGTGGTCAGTGGGAAGAATGTCCCTTACATTGGGGGTCAGTGGAAAGAATGTCCCTTACATTGGGGGTCAGTGGGAAGAATGTCCCTTACATTGGGGGTTAGTGGGAAGAATGTCCCTTACATTGGAATTCAGTGGGAAGAATGTCCCTTACATTGGGGGTCAGTGGGAAGAATGTCCCTTACATTGGTGGGTCAGCGGGAAGAATGTCCCTTACATTGGGGGTCAGTAGGAAGAATGTCCCTTACATTGGAATTCAGTGGGAAGAATGTCCCTTACATTGGGGGTCAGTGGGAAGAATGTCCCTTACATTGGTGGTCAGCGGGAAGAATGTCCCTTACATTGGTGATCAGTGGGAAGAATGTCCCTTACATTGGGGGTCAGTGGGAAGAATGCCCCTTATATTGGGGGTCAGTGGGAAGAATGTCCCTTAAATTGGAGGTCAGTAGGAAGAATGTCCCTTACATTGGAGGTCAGTGGGAAGAATGTCCCTTACATTGGGGGTCAGTGGGAAGAATGTCCCTTACATTGGAGGTCAGTGGGAAGAATGTCCCTTACATTGGGGGTCAGTGGGAAGAATGTCCCTTACATTGGGGGTCAGTGGGAAGAATGTCCCTTACATTGGGGGTCAGTGGGAAGAATGTCCCTTACATTGGAGGTCAGTGGGAAGAATGTCCCTTACATTGGAGGTCAGTGGGAAGAATGTCCCTTACATCGGTGGTCAGTGGGAAGAATGTCCCTTACATTGGTGGTCAGCGGGAAGAATGTCCCTTACATTGGGGGTCAGTAGGAAGAATGTCCCTTACATTGGAATTCAGTGGGAAGAATGTCCCTTACATTGGGGGTCAGTGGGAAGAATGTCCCTTACATTGGTGGTCAGCGGGAAGAATGTCCCTTACATTGGTGATCAGCGGGAAGAATGTCCCTTACATTGGGGGTCAGTGGGAAGAATGCCCCTTATATTGGGGGTCAGTGGGAAGAATGTCCCTTAAATTGGAGGTCAGTAGGAAGAATGTCCCTTACATTGGAGGTCAGTGGGAAGAATGTCCCTTACATTGGGGGTCAGTGGGAAGAATGTCCCTTACATTGGAGGTCAGTGGGAAGAATGTCCCTTACATTGGGGGTCAGTGGGAAGAATGTCCCTTACATTGGGGGTCAGTGGGAAGAATGTCCCTTACATTGGGGGTCAGTGGGAAGAATGTCCCTTACATTGGAGGTCAGTGGGAAGAATGTCCCTTACATTGGAGGTCAGTGGGAAGAATGTCCCTTACATCGGTGGTCAGTGGGAAGAATGTCCCTTACATTGGTGGTCAGTGGGAAGAATGTCCCTTACATTGGTGATCAGCGGGAACAATATTCCTTATATTAGTGATCAGTGGGAAGAATTTCTCTTATATTGGTGTTCATCATAAAGGATGACCCTTACATTGGTGGTCAGTGGGAAAAATGATCCTTACATTGGAGTTCAGTGGAAAGAATGTCCCTTATATTGATGGCAAGTGGGAAGAGTGCTCCCTGTACCTGTTGTCAGTGGAACGAATGTCCCTTATATTGGTAGTCAGGATGCCACCATTACAGAAAGCTAAAAAATATCTGCCAAGTGGCCATGGACCTTTAATTATCCAGGCACCATTATATGTGTGATCACAGTTCATGGAACTCCTAGCAACTTCTGGAGGAACTCTGGTTGAGATTGGCTGCCATAGATGATCATCAAGTCTTTGCAGCAGCTTAGTGTCAGTGGTAAACCTTGCATTGTGGCACAAGATCACACATCCCCGCTTCAAATCAATGAATATCAATTGTTCTACCTAATAGCTTCCAATTCCCATGTCTGCCAGTGTACTCACCTCCAATATCAGTCTCAATGTTCTCAGTTGTAGCCTCCCCGACTCCAGCTGATAAGACTGCTCGGAGGGTGATGGTGTAGTTGGCTCCATACTGGAGGGGGATTTTATATTCCATCACATTGGGTGGAAACTGGAGAGATTCATCCAAAGCAAAGGACACATTGTAATCCCTCCAGGCTGAGATATTCATCTACAAGAAATTACATCTTATGTGACTCCTATTGTGGACATGGAGTTAAAAGATTAATTAAGTAAATGGGTTCTTTAGTAAGATGAAAAGAAATTAGTGGTAATAATGCCGGACCCCGCATTCACTATATCCCGCTCTCCCCGGACCCCGCATTCACTATATCCGCTCTCCCCGGACCCCGCATTCACTATATCGCTCTCCCCGGACCCCGCATTCACTATATCCGCTCTCCCCGGACCCCGCATTCACTATATCCGCTCTCCCCGGACCCCGCATTCACTATATCCGCTCTCCCCGGACCCCGCATTTACTATATCCGCTCTCCCCGAACCCCACATTCACTATATCCGCTCTCCCCGGACCCCGCATTCACTATAACCGCTCTCCCCGGACCCCGCATTCATTATATCCGCTCTCCCCGGACCCCGCATTCACTATAACCGCTCTCCCCGGACCCCGCATTCACTATATCCGCTCTCCCCGGACCCCGCATTCACTATATCCGCTCTCCCCGGACCCCGCATTCACTATATCTGCTCTCCCCGGACCCCGCATTCACTATATCCGCTCTCCCCGGACCCCGCATTCACTATATCCGCTCTCCCCGGACCCCGCATTCACTATATCCACTCTTCCCAGACCTTGCATTCAATGTATCCGCTCTCCCCGGACCCCGCCTTCACTATATCCGCTCTCCCCGAACCCCGCATTCAATATATCCGCTCTCCCCGGTCCCCACATTTACTATATCCGCTCTCCCCGGACCCCGCATTCACTATATCCGCTCTCCCCGGACCCCGCATTCACTATATCCGCTCTCCCCAGACCCCGCATTCATTATATGCGCTCTCCCCGGACCCCACATTCACGATATCCGCTCTCCCCGGACCCCGCATTCACTATATCCGCTCTCCCCAGACCCCGCATTCATTATATGCGCTCTCCCCGGACCCCGCATTCACTATATCCCCCCCTCTCCCCGGACCCCGCATTCACTATATCCGCTCTCCCCAGACCCCGCATTCATTATATCCGCTCTCCCCGTTCCCCACATTCACTATATCCGCTCTCCCCAAACCCCACATTCACTATATCCGCTCTCCCCGGACCCCGCATTCACTATATCCGCTCTCCCCAGACCCCGCATTCATTATATGCGCTCTCCCCGGTCCCCACATTCACTATATCCGCTCTCCCCGGACCCCGCATTCACTATATATCCGCTCTCCCCGGTCCCCACATTCACTATATCCGCTCTCCCCAAACCCCACATTCACTATATCCGCTCTCCCCGGACCCCGCATTCACTATATCCACTCTTCCCAGACCCCGCATTCACCATATCGGCTCTCCCCGGACCCTGCATTCACTATATCCGCTCTCCCCGGACCCCGCATTCACTATATCCGCTCTCCCTGGACCCCGCATTCACTATATCCACTCTTCCCAGACCCTTGACACAGGATTTCTAGAGCATTATGGGTTATCTAAAGGGACTGCACTGGCTGTCTTATATTGGACACTCAGAATAAAATCTCAGTTTTAGTTTGAGCTACTGAGCTTCCTAAACAGCAGGAATTTTTTTTAATCAGGAGGTAAGGAGAAACTGGAAACATGTGAAATGGAGCCAATAGCTCCACCCGCTGACTGGATATGAGAACATATATATTACTTCATAAACAATGCATTGCGCTGATAGAAATTCAATACACAATTAAGTGCATAAATGCAAACAAGTTCTGATGTTGAATAAAAAGTAAAAAGTGTGAAGTGTATCTTCGCATCACCTCCACCAATCCAGTGTTCCCGGCCACCACCACATTGATTGACGTACTGGAACATTGGACCCCAAAACAAAAGAGGTTGCCCACCGCGTCCTTACTGGCTCATATGTCAGTGAGATTCCCTGCTGACAGCAGGATGCAAACAGAAGAATTGCTGGCATTAAATTTTTTTTTCTAAAATAAAAACAGCGTGGGGGTCCCCCCAATCCATACCAGGCCCTTTGGTTCTGGTATAAATTTTGAGGGGAACCCTACACCAAAAAAAAAAAAATCTTAGGTTCCCCCCAAAATCCATACCAGACCCTTATCTGATCATAGCAGCCTGGCAGGTCAGGAGAGGGGGAGACAAATAAGCACCCCCCTTTTCCTGAACCATACCAAACCACATTTCCTCAACATGGGGGGTGCTCTAGGGGGGATTCCCCCCAAACCACCTTGTCCCCATGTTGCTGAGGACAAGGGCCTCTTCCCCAGAACCCTGGCCCGGGGGTTGTGGGGGAGGGGGGGGTTACTTATCAGAATCTGGAAGTCCCCTTTAACAAGGGTGACCAAGATCTTGGCTCCCACCATGTGAATGAGTAGGGGTTTATAGTACCCCTACTCATTCACCCAAAAATGTGCAATATAAATAAAAACACACAATTTGGGGCATTTTTTTTACCTACAAAAAATGTGCATTTATTCTTTTTTCTTCAAAAGCTGAACTTAGCCTTCAGTGTCTCATTGTGCCCTGGCCTGGGAGTTGGGGGGGAGGGGGGTTACTTATCAGAATCTGGAAGCCCCCTTTAACAAGGAGGCCCTAGATCTTGGCTCCCGCCATGTGAATGAGTAGGGGTTCATAATACCCCTACTCATTCACTGAAAAAAAAACGTGCAATGTAAATAAAAACACAGACAACTTTTAGCATTTTTTTTAACCTAGAAAAAATGTGCATTTATTCTTTTTTCTTCAAAAAGTGAACTTAGCCTTCAGTGTCTCATTGTGCCGTTCACACTCCGGGGTTACAGATGGGAATTATTCATTCCAGACACGTTGGTGTGTTGTAGAATTCAGGAATTATATTGTTGCTGGCTTTTCCTTTTCAATTTAGTGGAAATGAACTCTCAAAACATTTTTACAATAATCCCCCCTGAAGGTGAATGTCATAGTGTGTATCATGCACTTCATACTAGCTAAGTGAAAATTAGCTGAAAAAAAAAATACCAAATCATCAGCGAGGAAAAAAAAACCCTAGATTTTAACTTGCACATAATCAGATGATAGAAACTAGCAGAGCTTCATCCCATTCACTAAGCTAAGGGATAATTCCTTGAAAGTGAACAGTTTATTCCCCTTCAGTAAAGTAGCTCCATTGTGTCTGAAAGGAAACAACCAGGCTGTGTTCTTTTGTTAGTTAACTCACAGTGCTCTGGGAACCTTGTGTCATAGATCCATCCTGTATAAAAAAAAAAATGTCTATTTGTAAATCACCATAAAAAAAAAATCTCTTAAACATCTTTTCTAAAATGTATTCACTTCAAAAAGTCTGATAGCATTGACCAGCAACCATTACCTTTAGATACAACAATCAGTCTTCACTATGTAAGGAGTAATAGGTCAATATGGAATCGAGAATAAAATCTGCAAATTGTAAAATGATTTTACCTGGAATCCGGTGATTAGTCCCCATTGCTTAGAAAATCTCCATCTAATTGTGTTATCTTCCATTGATGGAACTTTCACTATTTCAGGCTGGCCAGGTACTGGATGGAAATAAAACGAATGTTACAGATTCCAATTAGAGTAAACTGTCCATACACCCAGAGGTCAGAGAATCCAGATCCCCCTGCAATGATCTGCACAACTAGAATATAGAGATAATAAACAGAGAAAGACACACATCTACTTGTGGTTTTTTCTTTTCACTCCTATTCCTTCTATTCCACCAGACCCCAATCCTATTCCTTCTATTCCCCAGACTCCGCTCCTATTCCTTCTATTCCACCAGACTCCACTCCTATTCCTTCTATTCCACCAGACCCCACTCCTATTCCTTCTATTCCACCAGACCCCACTCCTATTCCTTCTATTCCACCAGACCCCGCTCCTATTCCTTCTATTCCACCAGACCCCATTCCTATTCCTTCTATTCCACCAGACCCCACTCCTATTCCTTCTATTCCACCAGACCCCAATCCTATTCCTTCTATTCCACCAGACCCCACTCCTATTCCTTCTATTCCACCAGACCCCACTCCTATTCCTTCTATTCCACCACACCCCAATCCTATTCCTTCTATTCCACCAGAACCAACTCCTATTCCACCATACCCCGCTCCTATTCCTTCTATTCCACCAGACCCCACTCCTATTCCTTCTATTCCACCACACCCCACTCCTATTCCTTCTACTCCACCAGACCCCGCTCCTATTCCTTCTATTCCTCCAGACCCCGCTCCTATTCCTTCTATTCCTCCAGACCCCGCTCCTATTCCTTCTATTCCTCCAGACCCAACTCCTATTCCTTCTATTCCACCATACCCCACTCCCATTCCTTCTATTCCACCAGACCCACATCTATTCCTTCTTTTTCACCATACCCCGCTCCTATTCCTTCTATTCCACCAGAACCCGCTCCTATTCCTTCTGTTCAACCAGACCCCGCTTCTACTCCTTCTATTCCACCAGACCCCACTCCTATTCCTTCTATTCCACCAGACCCCACTCCTATTCCTTCTATTCCACCAGACCCCACTCCTATTCCTTCTACTCCACCAGACCCCGCTCCTATTCCTTCTATTCCACCAGACCCCGCTCCTATTCCTTCTATTCCACCAGACCCCGCTCCTATTCCTTCTACTCCACCAGACCCCGCTCCTATTCCTTCTTTTCCACCAGACCCCGCTCCTATTCCTTCTATTCCACCAGGCCCCGCTCCTATTCCTTCTACTCCACCATACCCCGCTCCTATTCCTTCTATTCCACCAGACCCCGCTCCTATTCCTTCTATTCCACCAGGCCCCGCTCCTATTCCTTCTACTCCACCAGACCCCGCTCCTATTCCTTCTATTACACCAGACCCCACTCCTATTCCTTCTATTACACCAGACCCCACTCCTATTCCTTCTATTCCAACAGACCCCACTCCTATTCCTTCTATTCCACCAGACCCCGCTCCTATTCCTTCTATTCCACCAGACCTCCCTCTTATTCCTTCTATTCCACCAGACCTCATTCCTATTCCTTCTACTCCACCAGACCCCACTCCTATTCCTGCTATTCCACCCAGGGTCTGGCGCATGTTTTGCAAGTGGCTAGTGCAAGGAAAGGTTACCAGTCTGTCAGGTACAGTACTAGTGGTAGGGAGAAGTTCTGGAAGAGTAGGGAATCATGGGGCCTATGCCTGGAACTTCAGAAAGCTCCCCTTTGGGTTGAATCAGCCAGGCCACATTGCACTCTCCTTGTCCTTGACAGGTGCTGTCTTCAGCTCGAGTCTACGCACTGCTGACTCTCAACTCCAACTGTTGTAAGTGCCCCGGTGGGCATTCTGCAATACATTGTTTTCTCCAACCCTGGACTCAGTGTTTTCTGCTGACACACCATGCTGCACCTATCCAACATACTTAGGTGTACACATGTGCAAAAGGCTGTTTTTTGTCTGCACAGGTGTTTCATGCATCCATGTGCAAGCAGTCCCTTTGATATTTATAGGGATGCAGCAGCTGCACAAACACAGTCACTGCTCCGAATTTACCATCGATATAGGTCCTATCAGCATTCAGAGATCTGCACATGCAGGAATGTCAGACTGGAAGCAGCTGTGTCTGTGCAGCTGCTGCATCCCAATAGACATCAGTTGAAGTGCCTGCATGCAAATTCATGGGCCTCTGCATGGGTGTATGCCTACGTGAACAAGGACTTAGTTCATAACAGGAGTTTCTCCAATCATATTCCAGGCTAGCAAACCTGAGAGATGAATGGTTCCTCCCTAACAGGAAACACAATCAGATAAGCAATGTCTCTTGATGTTAGATTAGGTTTCCTACCAGCAGGCTGTGCATTGTTTGTTGTTTTTCTCCTGACCACTGGGTCAGAAAGTCTTCTTCTGGGGCAGATCTGCAAAGCTAAGTGGCAGTGGAGCTTTTTCCTGATGTCTCAGTGGATTCCGCCTTGTTTTCCAGGTTTGACTCCTGAAGCACCCCTGGTTTTCATGGCCCTGTCCTTCCCTTCCTTCCTTTTGGAATATTTGTGTCCCTGGGTGTGTGTTGGCAGTGTTTTTTTGGGGGGCTTTTGCTTCGGCACAGCCATCAGAGGAGCAGTATGTCCTCCTGGCCTCGGTTTCATCTGTGTTGTTGCTTCCTGGTAGCCAGGCACATTATTTCTGGGAGCCCAGCAGAATACAAACCAGGATACACAATGCAACTTTGTAGCTGACCAGGAGGAACAGCAACTGGGGGGAGGTGATTTTGACCACTACCCTCCTTTCACAGTGGACTCTATATGTAAAGAACGGCCTTGTGGCTGTTAGAAAAGGGGAAAGCATGAGGTGGTGAGAGCTTCACTTATCTGTTTGGGTTGATGGCAGAGTGGGTTGTTGTCCTATTCAAGAAGAAGCGGGACAGGAGCTTGAATGATTTGGCGCCGATAGTCAGCCAGTCACAATTCACCCTTACAAAAGGTCTTCTTCATGTTATAGCACTATACA